CGAGCCCATATTTTGCAGTGTCGAGCGACTAGATATATATATTAAATTACTAAAATACTCCATATATATATTTAAATGGTATAACACGAGTGTTTAATGATAATTCACTTAAAACTTTTCGAGACGAACTCAATCCGAGCTCGAGCATTTGATTTTGAGTCGAGCTCGAACTATTGTATTTTCTTATCGAGTCGAGTTTAGCAACTAAAAAAAAAAAAAAAATCAATCCCTCTCGTGCCAATGCGCGACTCGGCTCGTTTGCAACCCTAGCCTAGAGTGAGACACGGACACCAAAAATATCTTTATATATATATAATATAATGATAAGATATGTAAACTTTAAATTTGTTTTTCTCACTATTTTCACACCAAAAATGTTTTTTATTTTTTTTATTTTTTATTTTTAAGTTTACTTGTGTTAGTTTTTTAATATATAACTCAATATGAGTAATGCTATTTAGTCTAATTGGATGACAACTTGGATTACAACACAAGTGTAAATGTATTATAAAAAATTTAAAAATAATACATTTACACTTGAGTTGTAGTCCAACTTGTCATCCAAGTGAACTCTATAGCATTACTCTATAAACATATCAGACCATTTTGGTTCTATATCTCCTCAGAATCATTTTGGTTAGATCTCTATCTTGTTTACAATTCTTTCTTTCTTTTTTTATTGAATATTTACTAATACAATACCGTGTATTACACGGGTGTTAGTTAAAAATATATGATAAAAGTTATTGTTTACATAAATTTATATTTATTAAATTTAATGGACGTGATCAAAACAAAGAGGAATAGCATAAAGTGATTTCTAAGAAATATTAGAGAAAAATACAAGATGGTAAGATTCCTATTTGCCCAAATTAAGAATGGTAATTTGTATAAAAAGGAAAAAAGTAACAAAACTAAATGTACACTTACCAAGTTTGGAAAAATATTATTTATGTCTAATACCAAGCTTAATTAGAGCATCTCCAAGAGCCTCTCTATTTCTCTTTTTTATCTCAAAAATAGGGATTTTCTTTCAAAAATTGTCTCCAACAGTTCCCCTAAACTTGGTCCTATTTTTAGGGTGAGCTCAAATAGAGGCTTCTCTTCCTCATTTCTGGGGAGGGAAAAACGACCCCCCATTTCAAATAATAATAATAATAATAATAATAATAATAATAATAATAATTTAAAAAGAAATAATATTATATTAATACATGAAAAAATATAACAAATAATTAATAATAAATTACTAATAATAATTAAAATTAAAAAAATTAAAAAATAAAAATTGTTCAAAAAAATAATTTATTTGATTAAAAATTAATAAATTATAATAACAATTAATATAATAATAATAATAATCTAAAAAGAAATAATATTATATTAATAAAGGAAAAATTATACAAAATAATTAATAATAAATTACTAATTATAATAATTAAAAAAAATAGTGAATATTATAAAATTAATTAATTACTATTATAATCGTTAACAATTACAATATCAAGTGGGCTTCAAGTGGGCTTTTAGATAGATTTGTGGGTCTGGTTCATATTCAAATTATAAAATAGGGAGACTCTTGGAGAACAACAGAAAATAGGAAGCAAATGGATATAGGATGACTCCTTATTTCTCCAAATAAGAAGTCTAAAATAAGAAGTCTCTTGGAGATGCTATTACAGAGCAAAAAATGAATATACAAACAAACATTTCGAAGCATAAATTTTTGTCATGTCAGCATCCGAAGCGTGTGAGTCTGCCACTTATGCTCAACATGTTTTGAATTAATATATTGGAATGGATGTTATTTATCTTATTTGTTTCTTTTAATTTGAATCTAAATATTCATATCTTTCTCTTTTATTTAAATAAAAAAGTTAATAACATCTTCATTGTTAACCAAATTTTATAGATAATACACTGAATGAGTATGTTTGTTTTTTTTTCAGCGATTTTTACGTGGCGATACTAGTGAGAATCTTGTGCGATGCACAAGGATTTCGTCCCTTAGAATCTTTTTTTGAAGACATTATTTTAACAATATTAGCTCGTTGATTCATTATATTAATATAAATAATATTTTAACATATATATTTATTTTTTAATACAAAAAATAAAAATATATTTTGGTTCATCATAATACTCAAATATTATTTTATTAAAAAATTTATTGTCGTATAGTATCATTATTATTTATAGCGATTATAGAAGTAATATTATTTGTTTATATAATGAAAAATATTTAATATATATTAATACTAGTTATTACTGTAATTAATTTAAAAATATATTAGCAAATTTAATGTTTGTTACGAATGTGATTATATGTAAGTTAAAATAAAATGGAAGGTATCCAAAAAAATCTGATTATGATATTCTCCTTTACATGTTTGAGTTAATTTGAAATTCTAATTAAAATCAACCGCCGATTTTTCAAAGAATTTCAAAAAATGTTGCCAATTGTAATAAAATCCAAATTTTTAAGCAGGATTTTACTTTTTACATAAAGTAAATCCCTATTAGTGTTTTATAGTAATTGTGTAGAAAAGATATGATAAGCTTCAATTGAGTTGGATTCTATTTTCTATGTTTAAAGATATTCAGCTTTTAACATGTTATTCGATTGTTCGAGAAAATATATTTTTAAAAAATCAATAAGTATGAATTTATATTTTTTTGCATAATAAGATGTCGTTCGATCGATTTAAGAGTAATTAAGTTTTAAGGAAAATGTATGACGATAAGATAATTGTACGCAATATCTGATCAAGTATGATTATTTGATTTAACAATTAAAACTATCGATTTGTTTTATTTAATTAATTCTTACAAAATACATATAACATATAAAAATTATCATGTTTTAATATTAAAAAATTCAGATAAAAAATTATAACGTTTATTGTTTTTTATACAAAAAAAAGAGTTTACCGTACATATATGTAATAATAGTTAATTATATATTATTATAATTAATTAATAACAATAATTGATGATGATGATGATGCGGGGGCCTAACTATATATTAAAAAAATATAAAAATTTAATGAAGAAGATCGAATGTAAAAACGGTTGAAGCTCTTATCAACAATATAGTTCTGTGCTGGTCCTCACGAATGAGAACATCAGATATAGAAAAGTCTCGAGGATAATACCTGATCATCTTAACTAATTTTTGCATTAATACCAAAATTTCATATATTCTTTCTGCCCAAAGATACTAGAATTTTCCTCAAACCTAATTGGATTCAATGTATCTTCCTTTGAGAAATTTTCACAAGCATTTTGCTGACATGACATTTTTAAAAATATCTCTTAATGTCTGATGTACAGAAATAATATTATAAATTTTCAATATATGAAATGCGCTATTTTGACATATCACACTTTAAATAGTTGTAAAAAAAATAAAAAGGACTTGAATGTGCAATTTCTACATAAAAAGAATATATTTACCAATATCTAAAAAGTAAAGAAGAGTAATTTTTATCTCTATTAATATAAACAGAAAGAATTTCGTGATCTTGTAAGAAGCCTTCCCATATAATTGGACAAAAAATTGATAAACTCGTTGACTCTTTCCTTTTTCTCCCTATTTTTCTCTCTTTTTCTTTCCCATGTATTTGTCTGCGTGATTTTTGTACTCTTTTCTCTTGTTTAATTATTTTGTTAAATGTTTTATTGCTTTATTATATTAAGCTTATTTATTTGGCTCATAGGGCTCGTAGTAATACTAGGAGTTTACTCTTTGTGAGTTGGCAATTTTTATTGGTCTCATAGGGCATAATTAGTATTTTTTAGATTAA